AAAGGTCACCAAGGGTGTCACCTCCTCCAGGAAGCCCTCCCTGATGCACTCTCCCAGCACAGTAAGTGAGTGAGTGGCGCTTGTTGGCTCGTCTGTCTGTCCGCGAGCCCGGCAGTTCCCGGGAGACCCTGGCCACCCACGGGGGAACCAGCCCAGCGCCGTTAGGGCCCCTTGGACCGGAAACCTGACTGCCGGTTCCTATAAATCCCGCAGTTCAGCCAGGCTGTGCGGCGGCAGGCCTGGCTTGCGGACCCGCTTTTGCTGCGTATTAGCTCAGCCACGGTGGGCGACAGTCTCAGCCTCTCTCTGCCTCAGTTTCCCCATCTGTCAAATGGGGCCAATCGAAGAACCCGCCTCCCCAGGTTGTCCTGAGGACGGGGTGAGTTAAGCACGTGTGTGGGGCGTGGCTGGGAGCAAGTCTATGGCAGGCGACGCTGGTTTCTCCATTAAATCAGAGCAGCCTGTAAACTTTCTTTCTTAAAATACATTTGTGGATTTTTGTTTAAAAAGAGCGGATTGTAAGGAAAATACTAAGTAGGTCACAGCACAGGCGATGGGAAGATGGGGGCCAAAACCCAAGGAGGGGACATTGGAACGACTTAAACTCAATGTCCCCGCCCTGGTGCTTGGAGGGGATCTGGAACCTTGTCCCATTCATTCCTGCACGTCGTGACCGCGACTGCCACCTGGTGGCCGAGTCTGAGAATGCAGCAGACGTTATGCCTGTGCTCCCTGCGTTTTAACGCTGAGCACGGCGCGTGCGCGTCTGCGTCACCTGGGTCACCTGGCCCACCTGAATCCTACCTGTCTTCTACAGCTAATTTAAGGCCACAGTGACCGCTCCCTCCGTGGCATCGCCTACCTCGCCTGGTCTTCCACACTTGCTGGGGTGGGGTGGCGGGTGGATAGTGTCCCAGGGGACCAGGTATCCCTGGGTTGGGCTCAGTCTGCTCTGTAGCAGCCAAGGGGACCGTGCTGGGACGGTTAAGGAGATCCTGGGACCGCCTTCCCAAGGAAGAGCTGCCAGGATGGATTGGGTGGGAAAGTGGGCACCTGTGGTTCAAGATGTGGGAAGAGAGAGAGCATCAGGTATGGGCTGATCCAGCAACTGCAGGGTTCTCGCAGGGCTGTGAGGGGACGTGGGAGGG